TGCCCTCAGCTTCTGCCCCATGGTCCAGGGTCTGCAGCGAATGTTTGCCATGAGATCTTTCTGGAATTGTATATTCTGGAAGATTTGTTCCGGATCATTGCTGTCCCCTGTTTCATCAGCATTAAAGCTGTCGTCCAAGTTGCTGAGTGGATAAGGGCATTACGGAGGAAATAGGATTAGTGGAATCGCTTCCCGCTAATATCATCCTCTCGTCCTGGGCTACTTCAGCACCGCACTGCCCCAGGGTCGTCCGTATGGAGTGCGTGCGCGTGTGCGCGTGCGTGTGTAAGGGGAGGGATCCGCGGGGGCAGAGAGAGAACCTGGCAATGTGAGCAGCCCACTGAAACGCAGTTGTTGGGTTCTGTTACTTCCAGTGGGTCAGCAAAGAGAGTGATTTCTCAGGGTGAACGATGTTACCAGAAGACACGAAAGGGGACAAAGCGTGCTCGTGTGTATTCGATTCCTGAATAGCCGCAGCTCTGGCGGCAAAACAACTTGTTCTTCAGGCTCATTGAAACAATCGGCTAATTTTAGAGGCTCCTCCTTCTCCCCCAACTCTGAAGGTAAAATAAACACAAGCCAGACAGACTTCTGTCACCCGGAGACCCCTCCCTGCCCTGTGCTTCAGTTCATTTTAAGCCTGAGAAAACAGAGGCAGAACCAGGCAGCAGTTTCTGGGAGCAAGAAATTAGCTCAGCAGATTCGCACGGGCAAAATATTGCAGTGAAATACTCTCAAGAACAATTTTCCAACATGTAGCAACATTTATTCCCAGCAGCAATTAGTATGCTGATCCTAACACAACTTCTCAGGAGGGGATAAGAGTATTCTTCTACGGCTATGAGAAGTAAGAGAAAACATTTCCTTTGTTCTCTAATTCAGATTGTTTTTACTTACTCAAAAGAGAATTTTCCCCCCAATTTATCTAAATTAAGTGGAGGTTTTAATAGACCTCATAGATATTCTTTATAAATATTTAACAAACTCTCATCCACTTCTAACTGGCCTGAAGTCTTTTCCAACAAACACCTTATTTGTTATGCTGGATATATCATCTGCTCCCTCGACGTTGCTGACTCAGTAAACAGAGAGAGCACAGGCCAAGCGCATCTGTGGGGCTGACCAGCGATAAGCCGGCCGGGGACAGGCTTTTGGGTTCCTATCCCCTGGCCAAGACGCGGCAGGCAGAGCCAGCTCCCTCTGTGCCGAGGTTGCCACCCCGGTTGCATAAGAACCTGGAGGCGTGAGTTTCTCAGTTTATTCTGAAGGAGAACCAAGCAGGACAGGGACTCTGTCCCTTCCTCACACACCTGTCTCCTCTGCCCAGCTGACGGGTGTGACCGGCTCACCTGAGCAGCAGGGACTCCTGGTAGAGGTAGCGCTGGCTGGCATTTCTCCGGATGCCCCTGTAGCGCTGGGACGCCTTTGCGGGTTTCATGGGAGCTGACCTGCTGCCAGGGACCAGCAGCTGGCCCGGGAGCGGGGAAGCCGGCAGCCGACGGTCTGCTCCAGCTGCGGTTTCCGTGCGGGCGCTGCAGCTGCTCTGCCACGCAGTTCTCAGGAGCACGCCTGGGAGCTCGCACGGGTGTGGGGCACGGGGCAGAGCCGGGAGGCCAGTCATGCATATGCAACGCTGAGGTGGCTGTGGCCGCGCAGATTGGCTGGAGTCTGGACGGCAGAGGTGGGAGGCTGGGCCCAGGGACCTAGGGGTCACTTGGTGCTGCCCGAGCAACCACGTCTGTCAGCCCCTGGCCCACGCAGGGCTCTGCGGCTCCGTGTAACGCGCTTTGCATCCACGACCACGCCGGTGTTCACAAAACACTCAGCAAGTACGAGACAGGCATTGGTACCTCTCTGAGGTAAAGACCACACCCCTTCTCACACAGCAGATCCGGACAGGCACGGTCACCACGTTTTATGTCTTTTTACTCATTTTTTTCTCACCTTTCTTTCTATCTTCCAAAAAGTCAAACCTACAGAAACGTTGATGAACCAGTACCAGGGATATCTGTACCTCTTAACCTAGATTCACCAGTTGTCACATTTTGCTACGATTGTCTTGTTTCTGTCTGGATACTCTTTCCCTACACGATTTGACAGTAGGTTGTAGAAAGAATGACACAGCAACCCTAAATATTTCAGCATGGTATTAATAATAATCAAATTAACACTTTATCACATTTTACGTTTACTGTGTGTGGTCACATCAATCAGCACAACGACCCTGTGGGACTGGGACTAAAAGAGATTAAGAGGCTTCCTGGAGCTTCGTGGTAAGAAAGTGAGAATTTGATAGAGATTAGACTCTCGCCTAGACATTCTGGAAATAGATTGCCTGCTGTAAACGAGGCCGCCTCGCCTACCCTAGTCCTTGGGAAAAGGCTGGCAGCTCCCCTCCCTTCCCCAGCCACAGGCAGAGTGGTACCCTGTCCCCTTGTCAAGGCTGTCATTACTAGCCGTGCCCTAGGGCTCTCCACCAAAGATCTCGCTCTGAAGTCCAAGACTCGCCTACAGTCTCACAGCATAAACCTCTATGTGTTTGCTCCTTGACACAAGAAATGGCTTCATTGCAGTGAGGTTAACTGTACCTTTCGCTGAATGGGCAGGTGCGGGACTGGAATGGAAACAGCCCTCTCTGTGCAACACTTTACCTGTACACCCTGAGGACTTGAAAACTGGGTGAATAAATGACGGGTTGAGCCCCAGACAGCAGAGCAGAAAGAAAATCCGTCAGCACCTCCAGGTGTTGGGCTTAGGAGAGAGACTTTGTTTATTTGTTCCGTCCTCCACTGGCTCATCAGCCAGTCATTAGACAGCTCTTCTCACACACAGAGCCACCGAATGCAAGCAAGAGCCTGGCCGAGGAGTCTGGGGTGCGGGGGCTACTAGCTGGTGTTCAGATCAAGGGCTCCAGGCGTGAGAAGAAAGCACCCATGTGCAGAGCTGGCCTCGGGTCAGAGATGGACACGCGGCCCCTGAGACCAGGTCATCTCTCTGCCATTTGGCCTGACGTTCTACCTGGTAACACTAGATAAAGTATGTGCTTATCGAATGGACAAAGGGCTTATACGATAGGACTATTGCTACCTCCACTGAGATTTTTTCCATTCTTTTAGAGATCTTTACTTAGTTGGACTATTTCTGAACATTTCAAAGATTTTTTTTTAATCCTACTTTTTCCTAAGGCCCCCGTCTTATTTTGAGATATTTATTCAAAAAATTAAAATATTTTACGTTAACCTCATGAAGTTAAGTATTTTGAGTATTTTTGTTTCTACTTTGTTGTTATATATATTTTTTTGTGGGGGCGGGTAGGGAAAGATAGTAGCACATTTTGAGGTATTACAGGAATTTATTAAAACAAATTATTGCAAACCCAGGCCTTTTTTTTCGTATCCGTTCAGGTAATTCTGTTTGGCAGTGTGGGTGAAATAAAGTAGGTTGGTCAAAAGATATTTAACTCCATTATTAGCATCCAAATCATAAATTAAATGGAATAATTAAATAGGAATAATTGTTATTTTTGATATGAATCAATCATGCTAGTTTTTTAACCTAATTTTAAAGAAATACAGATTTCTAA